TAATGGTTTTGTGTTTTTCTTTTTTTTTTTTTTTTTTTTTTTTTGAGACAGGGTCGCGTGTAGCCCAGGGAGGCCATGAACTTGTACCTGGAGCTGACCTTGAACCTGGGACTGTCCGGCCTTTCTTCTTCTTCACCTACCAAGGACTAGGCTGTGGCAGCCCATAAGTGACTCAGTTTCCACCTGACGTCCATTCTGACTTAACAGTCATTTGAGCTCAAGCTAGTCTGCTCTGCTTGCTCCGGTATCCTTGAGGGCTGTCAGAAAATTCTGATCAAGCCCATGGGAAAGAGCACTTTTGCCCACGTGAGAGAACACATTATCTATTAAGATACAGACTGTTGAATGCCAGCCACAGGTACATCCAGTTAAAAAACAGAAACTGTTTGCTGCTACCAGGACTCATGGGATTGGTAATGAGGCTACTTGTCTCTCAAAGTCAGTGCAGGGAAGGGGTCAACTGATTCTGCTGTTCTTTGATCTGCTTTGAGACGGCTGAAAAATAAACTCGAGGCTGTCTAGAGTAAGTTGGCAGTCCTCCAAATCTATCCCATGGTTTCCATATCAATTTCTTTCAATTGTCATTTCCTAAATCCCTGTGCCCCTACCCAGATACCCCAGCTGATTTTGTTGGAGCAGGCTCTGACACCGGCATTACAGGTGTCCCCACTGAGCACAGTTTAAACCCCTTAACTTTTCAACAGGCCTCCCAAATTCACAAGCCTGGTTTCCAGGCTTGATGCTTTCTACCCCACAGCGGACCTGTTCATGCCACTGGCCCGGTACACCAGCTGCGTATTTAGACAGTTATATGTGACCAAGCAGTAGAAGTCAAAAAGCCCCTCTCGTGCTAAGAATTTTGCTGCCTCCCAAGTGTCATGTGGCTGGGAACTTCTGGGGCACAGACAGTCCTGGCCCTACGATGGGGGGCCGTGTTCTAATAAATCCATGATAAGCTAAAAATCTAAGTGGGAAATGCATTAGATGAGTAGATTTTATAATAATATATAATTGGTCTTCTATACCCGTGGATGCTAATTCCATGATGGGTTCAACCAACTGTAGATAGAATATTTGAAAAAAAGTATGTATTAAGTACTTAATAAAAAAAAATTCCTTTCTATTATTCCTTAAACAAGTGACATATGTATTTCATTTAGTTTATATAACTTCAACTAAATTCTTTGTTTGCTTGCTTTTTTTTAAATTTTATTTATTTATTATGTATACAACATTCTGTCTGTGTGTATGCCTACAGGCCAGAAGAGGGCACCAGACCCCATTACAGATGTGAGCCACCATGTGATTGCTGGGGAATTGAACTCAGGACCTTTGGAAGAGCAGGCAATACTCTTAACCTCTGAGCCATCTCTCCAGCCCCTTGTTTGTTTTGTTTTGTTTTTGTTTTTCAAGACAGGGTTTCTCTGTGTAGACCTGGCTGTCCTAGAACTAATTCTGTAGACCTCCCTGGCTTTGAAATCAGAGAGATCCACCTGCCTCTGCCTCCTGAGTGCTGGGATAAAAGGCATGTGCCACCACTGCCCAGCTGTAATCAAATTCTTTTTTTCTTTCTGAGATACGGTTTCTCTGTGTAGCCCTGGCTGTCCTGAAACTCCCTTTGTAGACCAGGCTGGCCTCGAACTCGCAGAGGTCCACCTGCCTCTCCCTCCCAAGTGTTGGGATTAAAGGCGTGTGCCACCACCGCCCTCCGCAACCACATTCTTATTTGTGACTCATATTCATTTAATTCCATGTCATAAAACCACAAAACGCATACCTGAGCTACAAAGTCTATTATTCTTCCTTTGATGTGAACACTGTCAAGAGGGATAGAGTTCGCAGATTTGTCCTGAAGGCCAGCTTTGACATTGGTGAAGGGCTTGTCATCTGGTAACTGGAAATCTGCAGGTTATAAACACAATGTCAGCCTGAAAGCAGGCACGGCTCTGTTGTTATCACCTTCATCCCTATGACTCACTCCATTGTTTAGACATTACAGTTTGAGAAAGATGGAAAATACTATTATATTCATAGTATTCTATGAGTTTTTGTTTAAGATAAGACCTTCCTATGTTGCTAGCCTAGTCTGCTCTCAAACTGGAAAGCTGCCTGCCCCAGCCTCACAAGTGCTGGGGTAATAGGAGTGTGCCACCACATCCAGCTGCTACTTTAGTTGGGTTTTGTTTTGTCTTTTTTTTTTTTTTTAAATATCACTATGAGTGACTGATCTTTTTTTAAAGATTTATTTATTTATTATGTATACAGTGTTCTGTCTGTCTGTATGCTTGCTGGCCAGAAGAGGGCACCAGATCTCATTACAGATGGCTGTAAGCCACCATGTGGTTGCTGGGAATTGAACTCAGGACCTCTAGAAGAACAGTCAGTGCTCTTAACCTCTGAGCCATCTCTCCAGCCCTGAGTGACTGATTTTTTTTTAAATTAATTTATTTTGATTTTATTGATGTTTTGCCTGTATGAGGGAGAGTGTTGGATCCTGGAGTTATAGTCAGTTGTGAGCTGCCATGTAGCTGGGAATTGAACCTGGGTCCTATGGAACAGCAGTCAGGGCTCTTAGCCTCTGAGCCATCTCCCCAGCCTCCTTGTTTGTCTTTTTGCTTTTGTGGTGGCAGTGCTCAGGAGTGAGCCCTGGGCTTCATCCATGTGAAGCAAGCTCTCTACCAAATGAGCTACACTCAAAGCCACTACTGTTTTTAATACTCAGTTAGGAAACACAAACCCAGTGAGAACAGCATTCTCAAACGCATTTCTACTTTCCTGTTTTGTTAAAGAAGTACTGTACTGGGCTAGTGAGCACGCTCATTGCTCCCAACGACAACTTGAAGTTGATCCCTACGGCCCATACAAGAAGGAAAGGACTACTCAAATGGTTTGTCTTCTGATCTCCACACGTGTACATGTACTGAAATATGTACACACACGTGCACACACACATTAATAATTCTTTTAAGTATTTATTTATTTGTGTTGGAGACCAAAACAGGACCTAACTTGCTCTTCTTCCCAAAGAAACAACTCTTTGTTTCATTGGTTCTTCTTTTTTTTTGGGGGGGGGGGAGGGTTTCAAGACACGGTTTCTCTGTAGTTTTTGGTGCCTGTCCTGGAACTAGCTGTTGTAGACCAGGCTGGTCTCGAACTCACAGAGATCTGCCTGCCTCTGCCTCCCGAGTGCTGGGATTAAAGGCGTGCACCACCATCGCCCGGCTCATTGGTTCTTTGTATCACTTTCTGTTTCTACTTTTAAATTATTTAAAAATTTTAATTTTATGTATATGATGGGTGTTTTGCCTCCATGTATGTCTATGTACCAAGTGAGTGTGTGATGCCCACAGAGGTCAGAAGAGGGGGTAGGGTCTCCTGAAAATGGAGTTACAGATGGTTGTCAGCTGCCATGTGGACACTGGAATTGGATCCAGACCCTTTGAGGAGCAGCCAGGGCTCTTAAGTACTAAGTCGTCCATCCAGCTCTCTGATATAGTTCTATCCCACTGTGGTAAGGTAGAACACAAGGAATCCTTTAATTTTTCTGATATTTGTTAAGACAGATAAACTAACTAGAAGAAAGACAGAAAAACTCAAATTAATAAAATTAGTGATGAAAGATAGTTACTAATGGAATTCAAAGTCACTACGATATACCTTAAAAAATTCATGCCAGCTGGGCGGTGGTGGCCCACACCTTTTATCTCAGCACTCAGGAGGCAGAGGCAGGCGGATCTTTGTGAGTTTGAAGCCAGCCTGGTCTACAAGATCTAGCTCTAGGACAGGGTCCAAAACCACAGAGAAACACTCTCTTGAAAAAAACAAAACAAAGAAAAAAGAAAGAAAAAAATACTTATCATTAAATTTGAAAAATCTAAAAGAAGTGGCTGAATTTCTGGATGTATATAATCTACCAAACTTTTAAGACATTTTTATCTTAAAAGTGTGGGTGTTTTGCCTGTATGCGTGTCTGTGTACCATGTGTGTCCCTGGTCTGTGTAGGCCAGGGAGGGCATTGTATCCTCTAGGACCAGAGTTAGTTGTGAGTTGCTATGTGGGTGTTTGGAATAGAACCTAAGCCCTCTGGAAGAACAGCTGGTGCTCTTAACCCCTCAACCAGCTCTCCAGCTCCTGATTGACTGATTTCTTTCTTTCTTTCTTTCTTTCTTTCTTTCTTTCTTTCTTTCTTTCTTTCTTTCTTTCTTTTTTCTTTTGTTTTTTCAAGACAGGAATACTTTGTGTAACCCTGGCTGTCCTGGAACTCACTTTGTAGACCAGGATGGCCTCAAACTCACTGAGATCCGCCTGCCTCTGCCTCCCAAGTGCTAGCAGTAAAGGTGTCTGCCACCACCGCCCGGCCTGATTGACCAAATTTAAACCAAGAGCAGATATATAATTTAAGCAGATCTGTATGATGAAGTAAAGAATGGTGCAGCGATTAAATATCTCATAACTAAAAAAAGCACATAGTATTTTGTTATTGCAACAAAATGAATTACATTATTAAGTCATCCCCTGTAGAGAACGAAGAGCCTTGTGCACACAGATAAACACTGGAGAAGCCGGGAAAGTTGAACACAGTTTACCTCTTCAAGGGAATGAGGTGTGAAGCTGCTCTTCCTGGAAGGCTAGAAATGATGTCTTTTACAACCTGGTGGTCCTTTGCTGTCTGATGAGACAACATCTGCCCGCATCTCCCAGAATTTATGTTTTTACTTATCCAAGGCCTTTTCCCCCTACATCTTGAGCATTGATTTTAAACCATAAACCCACTCTTATGAGTGAGGCCATTCATGCTTCACAACAGCCTAAGTGACTGTTTGGTCAAAAGTCAGACCCCAGCCCTGACACCCCTATATCCAAGGGCTCTGGGATGTTTGGGTTAGAAGTGTCACCCCAGCCCCTGGCACCCATCCTTGGCAGGAAGCTCCATTTCAAGCCCCCTCCCCTGGGAGTCACGTTGGTCCAGACTCCACCTCCGGGAAAGCCAACCAAGGAGTTACCCCTCCCCAGGGAGGGTCAGGACCACTCCCACAGGCTATTTAGGCTGCCCCCCAGAAAAGGAACATGTGGTCTCAAGGTTTCGCATGGTCTCCCCTGCACTCTTCCCCTCACCATACTTTCCTGGACCACCCGGGAACACTGCATTAAACATGGGCATCTTTATTCGGTCAATTTGGTCTGATTGGAATTATTTGTGTCAGCGGAGAGGCTGGTCTTAAGAAATATACCTAACAGTGACTTCTATGTTATCATAGGGCCAGGCCAATTCCAACACCACAGGAATTATGTTTACCTCAGTAAAGCTCCATAGACCCTAAATCCTGGGCACCATCTCTGAGTCAACAGTCCCCTTCCTTGTGAAAGAAGTCGGCTGTACTTTGTCAGGAATCTCAATGCAAACATGTTTTAAATTGCACACTTGGAGCCAGGGGGTGGTGGCGCACGCCTTTAATCCCAGCACTCGGGAGGCAGAGGCAGGCGGATCTCTGTGAGTTCGAGGCCAGCCTGGTCTACAAGAGCTAGTTCCAGGACAGGAACCAAAAAAGCTACGAAGAAACCCTATCTCAAAAAAATCCAAAAAAAAATAAATAAATTAAAAAAAATTGCACACTTGGGGCTGAGTTAATTGTTATCTGAATACTTTTTTCCAAAATAGTGCTGGGCTTAAATATGGCTAAAGTAAAATGATCTGGGCCAGACTCTAGAAGTAGTTATCCAGCACTGGTTACAATAAAATTGGGCTGAGCCGAGTTTCATTCTTATCTCTTCATGGATGCCCTTTTCCCTGCCTGCTATAAAGCCTGCAGGGGTGTCACCACAATCCCCAAATTTAGGCATGCTAGTGACAAAGTGGGGGATTCTGAGATCACTTCATCTTTTATATGTTCAAGATAAAAGATAAAATGAAGGCCGGGCGGTGGTGGCGCATGCCTTTAATCCCAGCACTTGGGAGGCAGAGGCAGGCGGATCTCTGGGAGTTCGAGACCAGCCTGGTCTACAGGAGCTAGTTCCAGGACAGGAACCAAAAGCTACGGAGAAACCCTGTCTCGAAAAACCAAAAAAAAAAAAAAAAAAAAGATAAAGGAAATAGGAGATCATGGGTGCTGCTTACCAAACATGAATATAAATGCTTTTGAAAAAAAATTCCATTTTATATTATCTCATAAAATAGCACTCAAGAAATTTGTCTTACCTTCAACCTTTGAAACATTTGAAGGCTCAGCTCTGTGTTCCTCTAATTCAGTATTTTCATCAGGATGGAAGTCCTTTATTCGGTCTCCAGGAATGCGAAATTGAACAATGTATTTCATTTTAACTTGGCTGGTTTTATAAACAACAAATTCGTCATCCTAGAGCAAATGGGAATTGACAGGAGGTGAAGAAGAAAAGAGCAGCCAGAGGTTCCCGGAGAGGCAGAATCTCGTATTCGTTAACTTAGCAAAGACTGAATTGGGGTGGTAGATAGATGGGCATGACTTCAATGAAAACCTATTTAATAAAAATAGAAACAACCCCCTGGGGCTGGTGGGTTGCACATTTGGGGCCCATTTTGTCTGTTTTGGCTTTTTTTGTTGTTTGCCCGATTGTTCGATTTGTTCTTAAGTGCTCCGCAAGGGCTTGGCTACTGACCCACAACCCCAGGTCTGCATGTTTCCCGAAATAAAGTACCTCAAAGTCTGTGGGGACAGAGGCTGTTTTCGAAACTCCATGCACACTGTCATAGCCCGGAGGTGCCTCGGTCAAAGAAAAGTCCTTCTTGAATAAGTCCATACACTTTCCCAGGGCAACATCACAGACAAGCAGGAGTCTGGAGCCATCTGTCTCTCCCGCGTGTGAATACTTAATGCTTGTTCTGCACGGAGAGGGAAAGAAGCAGAGGTTTGCATAAAAAACAGGTTGGGAGTCTCAAATCCAAAACTGTGACTCAAGGGCTCAAACAACTCTGAAATGGAAACCGCTGAGCCCTGGTGTGACGCCACAGATGGAAAATTCTGCCCTAACCTTGTGATGGTTGCAGTCTGAGGGTGGGCGCACTAAACACGGTGTATAAAATCACCAGCAGGCTACACTGATCAGGTGAAGATGAAGCATGAATGAATGTCACGTGTGGATTTGGGTGTTCCCAAAGATGATGTCATCGTGTAAACACAAATAATCTCAAATCTGTGTTGGTGGGGGTTTTCTGTCCTACCCGGTTCCCACAGCTGTTTAGCCCCAAAGAAATCACACAGAGGTCTACATTAGTTATAAACTCATTGGCCAGTAGCCAGGCAGGAAGTATAGGCGGGACAACCAGATAGGAAGTAGGGATGGGTCAACGAGAACAGGAGAATTCTGGGAAGAAGGAAGTCCTAGTCTGCAGTCCTGACCCAGCCACAGAAGAAACAAGATGTGACTGCCCTGCTGAATAAGGTGCCGAGCCATGTGGCTAGCATAGACAAGAATAATGGGCCAATATAAGTTATAAGAGTTAATAAGAAGCCTGAGTTAATGGGCCAATCAGTTTATAACTAATGTAGACCTCTGTGCAATCTCTTTGGGACTTAACGATTGCGGGAACTGGGCAGGACAGAAACCCAGACAACAAATCTGAAAGAAACGTCTAATTCCTCAGACAAGGGATACTCAAGCCTGTATTGTTAAAAGACTTCCCAAGGAGAGCCTTCCAAAGTTTACCACCATTGTGGCATCTCCAAAGATACAAGTTAGAACATCACTGTGAAAAGTCGGGCAGGAGATGTGCACCTGCCTGACTTTGCACAGTGACGTTCTGAGGAATTAGATGTTTTCTGTCTGAGAGAGGTCCGGAAGAGAGAAGGGGACATGGACTTTAATGATGCCATCAGCTCCTGCTACCTCCCAAGGGGGCAGAAAAGTGGTTGGGTTCCTTCTCTGCTAATCCTTCTGTTTATATTAAGGAGTTTCGCTATCTGTCCCAGGCCTATGATTTAACCTGGCACGATTTCTGTCAGCCAGGCCTCTACTCTCACTTCTGAAGAGCAAAGTAGAATTCAGGTAGCAGCTAGACATTACGCAGATGAGACCCACCTAGTGGAAAGTACAGTCCCTGTGGGGGAAGTGGCCGTGCCAGCCACAGAACCACACTGGGATTATCAACCAGGCCAAAACGGGCCACAGAGGCGGGACATCATGGTACAGAGATGGTCTCAGGAAAAAATAGTTAATTTCGATAATCTTTGGGAAATCACACAGCTAGCTGACAAAAACCCCGTCATTTTTTTACACTGATTACAAGAGACCATGGTTCAATGTACTAGACTAAACCCAGCCTCCCCAGTGGGAGCCACGGTCCTGGCTACCCATTTCATTTCTCAGTCAGCACCAAATATTAGAAAAAAAATTTAAGCCGGGCGGTGGTGGCGCACGCCTTTAATTCCAGCACTCGGGAGGCAGAGGCAGGTGGATCTCTGTGAGTTTGAGGCCAGCCTGGTCTACAAGAACTAGTTCCAGGACAGGCTCCAAGCTACAGAGAAACCCTGTCTCAAAAAAAAAAAAAAAAAAAAAAAAAAAAATAAAAAGGGTCTCCAAACCCCCATACAGGTAAAAATGACCTTTAAAGTTTTTAATCCCTGAGAAGAGGCAGCCGAGTCCTCCCGACAGACGAGGTTGCAGCAATGCTCCAAGCCTAAGCCCTAGAAGTTGCTGAGGCCACCAGGACCCCCAGAAGGGGGACAGGGAAGTTGACTATGAGGCTCTATCCAGCCAGAGCTCAGCCTAAGTCAACCTTGCCGGGAGGCAGCTACAAATGTGGCCTAAATGGCTATTTGGCAAGGTACTGCCCTGGACCGCCGCTGCCTATGAGGCCATGCCCTATTTGCCAGCAGCCTGGACACTGGAAATCACAATGCCTCCATGCGGGCTTGTCCTCTATGCCAGCCTTCAAACTACTTGGCCTGGCAGAGGACTGATGTGGCCCAGACTTGGTGACTCCCATTGTTCTCTCTGAGCCTAGGGTAACGCTGCAAGTAGCGGGTAAGTTCATTACTTTTCTTTTGGACACGGGAGCTACCCACTGTGCTTTAACATCTCACAATTTCAGTCACGGGGGTAGACAGGACCCGCTCCTTCCCACTTAAGACCCTGTCACTGACCTGCATTCTTACAGAATGATTCTTTTCTCATTCCTTCCTAGTCGCACCTGCTTACCCTGCACCTCTACAGGGTTGAGATATTCTCAGCTGCTTCAGGGCCACACTCACTTTGGCTCCCACACTCTCTCCTGAGTCACACTTTCTTCTCACTTTAACAGCCTCTCAGGTTCCCATCCCAGACTGTTCTGTCCCTACTCTCTCTGATCCCCAAGTATGGGACACTTCCACTCCTGATGTTGCTACTCACCATCAGCCAGTCCTACTTTGCCTTAAAGACCATCTCATCCTTCTTCTTCTTTTTTTTTTGGGGGGGGGATTTATTTATTATGTATACAGTGCTCTGCTTGCATGTATACTGGTAGGCCAGAAGAGGGCACCAGATCTCACTGTAGATGGTGGGGAGCCACCATGTGGTTGCTGGGAATTGAACTCAGGACCTCTGGAAGAACAAGCAATGCTCTTAACCACTGAGCCATCTGCAGCCCCCCCCCCCCCGTCTCATTCTTCTTCAAGACCAGGTGTTGCCGATCATTTCAGACATCCACCAGACTTTACACATAGGCCCCACATAGGGTGAAGGTCCTAACTGCTGGACAAAAAAGCTTTGTTCCATTTCTTAGAGCCCCTCTTTGACCCTACCCATCTCTGAGATCGTATTTCACAGGTTGACTCCTCCTGTCAGACGTGTACCCAGGCCAATTCACAGGGGGCTCTCCATATATGTCAGTCTCTGTATCAGCTTCGTGGACACCAACAGGGCCAAGATTGGCAGGTTGGTTTCACCCATATGCCTACTCATAAAAAGCTCAGTTATCGCCGGGCGGTGGTGGTGCACGCTTTTAATCCCAGCACTTGGGAGGCAGAGGCAGGTGGATCTCTGTGAGTTCAAGACCAGCCTGGTCTACAAGAGCTAGTTCCAGGACAGGCTACAAAACCACAGAGAAACCCTGTCTCGAAAAAAAAAAAAAAAAAAAAAGCTCAGTTATCTCCTAACACTTGTAGACAGAAGCATTTCTGGCCTCTAGGTAAATGGCAGATGTGGTGGCTCAGGTACTCCTGGACCACATCACTCCTCGGTTTGGCGTCCCACAGACCGTCCAAATGGACAATGGCCCAGCCTTCATTTCCAGGGTCACAGAGCTTGTGTCAGAAGCTCTCAACCTCTGGAAATTCCACCACCCCTGCTGCCCACAATCCTTGGGAAAGGTGGAAAAGGCCAACGGACTCATCAAACAACAGCTAGTCAAGCTCTCCATTGAACTCAGGCTCCCCCTCCCCCACCCTGAGACAGGGTTTCTCTGTAGCTTTGGAGCCTGTCCTGGAACTAGCTGTTGTAGACTAGTCTGGTCTCGAACTCACAGAGATCCACCTGCCTCTGCCTCCCGAGTGCTGGGATTAAAGGCGTGAGCCATCACTGCTTGGCAAACTCAGGTTATCTTGGCCCTCCCTTCTCCTCATTGCCCTTACCCGTCTCAGAGCCACCCCATGTTCCCCCATAGGTCTGAGCCCTTTCAAGCTCCTTTATGGCAGGCCCTTTCTCCTTAATCATCATCTCCCAGCCCAAACTCCTGCACTGGTGGGGTATCTACCCTACTTCCTTCTGAGGTCCCTTCTCCGTCCACATGCTGACAGTTGTCTCCCTGCCCCCACACCAGTGGACCCTAATGCCCCTGAACCCTCTCCATTCCCCCCCAGGACACAAGAGTACTCCTCAAACAGCTAGTTCCTAGGTCTCTTGAACCTCGGTGGACAGGACCTCACACAGTAATCCTCACCACCCCCCTCAGCTGGGACACCCATGCTGGTACCATCTCTCCATGTTCAAGCAGGCACTACTGATGTAGGAGGGTCTTCTGTCTATGTGTTACTTTCATTGGTTAATAAAGAAACTGCCTTGGCCCTTTGATAGGACAGCAGCTTAGATAGGCAGAGTAGACAGAACAGAATGCTGGGAGAAAGAAGCAGATTCAGGCAGTCGCCATGATTCTCCGACCCTAGACGGACGAACGTAGCCACGACCTTGTGGTGCTACACACATTAATAGAAATGGGTTAATCAAGATGTGAGGGTTAGCCAAGAAGAGGCTAGAGCTAATGGGCCAGGCAGTGTTTAAAAGAATACAGTTTGTGTGTTGTTATTTCGGGTGTAAAGCTAGCCATGCGGGAGCCGGGTGGCATGAAAAGCAGGCTTGCTCGCCTCATCACTACACACTACTCAGGACACTTGGCCTGTCCAGCAGTCAGGACCCTCCACCCTCCAGTTTTCCAAGATGCCACCATAGAGGGCCTATCTGCTCCTCGTCCTGGCACACTCATCTTTGTTGGTACAAACAAGATGGGTAATAACAGTGTTTTTTCTTCTAGCCACCTGCCTTCTCATCTCCCTCAAGGAACAGATGTCTGACGTCTCCAGGATGACAGTAAACCAGATGCCTTTCCAGCCACACCTCTCGCTGAGTGTGAGCCCCGCTCTCCCCTCTCCCACATCGCCCCATGCCTGCAAGAAGTAGCCAGACTTAACCCTCTTTATCCAAAGAGTCTGAAATGTTTGGTCAGAAGCATCACCTCAGCTCCTTGGCACCCCTTTATCCAAAGAGTCTGGATTGTTAGTTGGGGGCTTCACCCCAGACCCCTGGCATCCATTTTTGGAATGTTGAGTGGAAAGTTCCATTGCAAAGCTACCTCCCCTGAGAGTTGCCTCAGTCCAAACTCCACCTCCAAGAAAGCCCCCAACAGTGACCCCTCCCCAGGGAGGATCAAGACCACTCCCACAGGCTATTTAAACTGCCCCCCTAGAGAATAAACATGTGGTCTCCCCTTTTCCCTTTCCAATGGTTGTTCTGGTTTTCCTCCCCCACTCCGTGTTTTCCCAGGGTCACCTGGGAGCACTGGCACCCATTAAACCTGGGTATCTTTTAATTCGGTGTGATTTGGTCTGACTGGGATTGTTTACATAGGCAGAGAGGTTTGTTGGCAAGGAAATAACACAATTTCCCACACATTCACCACAGAAGCCATGCATCCACAGTATGTTGAGGGAGCTGGCTACTTTCAATGGTATGTTTATGGGTGAGAGATTCCCTCACTAAAGAAAGAGAAGAAAGTTTGCAAGGAGGCCTGAGTGGTGGGGGATGGTACAGAACACACAAACCTGAGTGAGTCGCTAAAGTAAATGCCGCTTCCCAGATTTCCAGGGTCTGTTCTTTGCACACCACGGTCTTCGGCTACTTTAGGTAAAAGCAGTCCTCTGAAAGAGAGGGCAGGACCATGATTTACCAGAAGAAAGGACTCTTCCACACAGCCTTGAAACTCAATGCCCAACAGCAGATTCGCCTGTCTTTACAAACCTCAGGTCAGAGTTCAGCTGGCCTTTCATACCTGCAGTCAACCAGTTATGGATTCAAAATATTCAGAAAAAAATTCATCAGTACAGAACTCTCCTAGCACAAAAACCATGGTATTCTCTACACAGACAGGACAAGGAAGGCTTCTCTTATGGATTACAGAAATATCAATTGTTTGACTTTTGCACCAGAAGATTGAGTTAATTTTGAAAAATGGCTTTTGAGACCAGGCAGTGGTGGCGCACACCTTTAATCCCAGCACTCAGGAGGCAGAGACAGGTGGATCTCTGTGAGTTCAAGGCCAGCCTGGTCTACAGAGTGAGTTCCAGGACAGTCGGGGATGCTATACAGAGAAACCCTGGCTTTTGGGGTTTTGTCCTATACAGAAAGAACTTTTCTATAAAGTTAATTTGTTTTTCAGAATTTGGGATTGAATCCAGGACCTCACTCATGCTAGGCGGACATTCTACTACAAAGCCACATCCCCAGCTCTTAAGTTTCAGCTTCTTCTTCCTCCTCTTCCTCCTTTTCTTCTTTTTAGATAGAGTCTCACTATGTAGCCTCAGGAGACCTGGACCTGGTTATGCAGACCAAGTTGGCTTTGAACTCACAGAGATCTTCCTGCCTCTGCCTCCAGAGTTACACTGTCACACCCAGATGGTACCTTTCAATTTTCCCAAGTGCTTGATTAAAGGACAGAAATATACTCACAATTCTCCTTAACCCTGTAACTTCAACTTCTCCTCCAATATTGAGAATTTATCCAAAGCAATCAGAAAACTAGGGCTGTGCTTTGGGTAAATAACCCACACTCCCTGGACACTGACTGTGAAATGTAGACTAGCTCATTTTTATATGAAGTCATTGTGAAAGAGTAATTGATTGTTCTGGTTTTGCGCGCACGCGTGCGTGTGTGTGTATGTGTGTATTCATTTGCAATTTTGTTTTTCTGAGTCAGGGTCTTTCTATATAGCCCTGGCTGGCTTTGAATTCATTCTATAGCCAAGGCTGGGCTTGCACTAGATGCAATCTGTCCTGCCTCAGCCTGCTGAGTACTGGGATTATAGGCATCACCATGCCCAAATTCTAAAGGAGCAACTCATACCTACGTGGAACACTTAAAAAAAAACAACAAAAAAACAGATATGTAACACATAATTACAAATACAAAATTTAAGTGATGTATAATTTTCTCTATGAATAGATTTGCTGCTTTTAACGGAAAAGTTCATGTGATTTGTTTATTTACTTTGGTATTGTTTAGGATCAAAGACACACAACTTAGATAAAAGTAGACAAGAAAAGGGAACATTTCAATAAATAAATAAATAAATAAATAAATAAATAAATAAATAAATAAATAAAAGTTAAAGATACTGCATCTTACCGGGACAAGATTCCAAGAATGTTCCGCACGGGAGATCCATGGAATAAGGACCTCACATTGCCCAGTTTGCTCAAAAACTCTGTGGCTTCGTTCACTCTGCCAACTCTAAATATCTGCAAGACATCTCCTGGACTCTGACTGGAAGAATTAGAAGAAAACCTTGAGTTCACAGTTAGAAAAAAAAATAAAAATCATTAATGAGTGAAAACTCCAGATGTCCGTGGTTCAGCAGTTAAAGGCACTTGCCAGTAAGCTGATGGTCTCCAGAGCCCATATGGTGGAAGGGGAGAACCGGCCCCGACAAACTGTCCTCTGATCTTCATGTGCATGCTGTGGCAAGTGCATGCGTACACACACACACACTCTAAATAAATGTAATAATAAATACCACAATAGTTTATGCAAAATATGATTCCAAATTTTTGTCAACTACAGAGAATGTATTATTTCATTCACATACATATGAAAGAATCCACTTAATCTGTTCATACACACACACACACACACACACACACACACACACTTTGCTTTCTGCTGTTATGATAAACACCATGACCAAAGGCAAGAGAAAAGAGTTTTTGTTTTTGTTTGGATTATTGGTTACAGTCCATCAAGCAGGAAACCTGGGGGCAGGAACTGAAGCAGAGACCACAGAGAGACGCTGCTTACTGGCTGGCTCCTCTGGAACTGCTTTCTTTTTTAAATTTATTTATTTATTTATTATGTATACACTATTCTGCCTGCATGTATATCTGCAGGCCAGAAGAGGGCACCAGATCTCATTACAGATGGTTGTGAACCACCATGTGGCTGCTGGGAATTGAACTTGGGACGTCCGGAAGAGCAGCCAGTGCTCTTAACCTCTGAGCCATCTCTCCAGCCCTGAACTGCTTTCTTACACAACTCAGGAGCACATGTTCAGGGCTGCCACTGTCCACAGTGGGTTGGGCCATCCATATTAATCACTAATCAAGAAAAATACCCAGGAGACTTGTTCACAGGTCAATCTGATGGAGGCAACTCCTCAGTTGAGGTTCCCTTTCCCCAGATAACTGTACTTTATGTCAAGATCACAGAAAGTAAGCAGCATACACATATAATGTAATCTGTTGATGGAGGAGGGTCATCTGTCTATGTGTTACTTTCATTGGTTAATAAAGAAACTGCCTTGGCCCTTTGATAGGACAGAAAATTAGGTAGGTGGAGTAGACAGAACAGAATGCTGGGAAGAAGGCAATGAGACAGACGATATAGCTCTCCTCTCCAAGATGGATGCAGGTTAAGATCCTTCCCAGTAAGCCACCACCTCGTGGTGTTACACAGATTATTAAATATGGGTTAAGCAAGATATGAGAGTTAGCCAATAAGAGGATAAACTAATGGGCCAAGCAGTGTTTAAAAGAATACAGTTTCTGTGTAATTATTTTGGGTAAAGCTAGCTGGTGGCCGGGAGCTGGGAGGCGGAATGCAGCCTGCCACTCCTCATCACTACAATCTGTCCTCTAGATGCTCCATCCGTGGGCTGTGTCGAGCTACAGCAGGATCCCTCTGGCTATGGGTAGGAAATGTATTCCTTTGTGCACTCACAATCAGAACCCATGCTGAATTCCCCAGGAATTAGAAATAACACCACAGGGTTTCTGGCTTCATTGAGTTTACATTCTTTTTTTTTTTTTAATATTTATTTATTATGTATACAATATTCTGTCTGTGTGTATGCTTGCAGGCCAGAAGAGGGCACCAGACCTCATTACAGATGGTTGTGAGCCACCATGTGGTTGCTGGGAATTGAACTCGGGACCTCTGGAAGAGCAGGCAATGCTCTTAACCACTGAGCCATCTCTCCAGCCCCTTGAGTTTACATTCTAATGGGAGAGACAAAAATTAAGAAGTTACTAAATTATTTATGTTACTAAGGAAACAACTAGGTTCAGAAAAAAAACCATGGTAGGAAGGCTACTCTTTTTAGGAGACACTTACTGGAAAATGGTACGATGCGGTGCACATGCTATGACCTAACATTGTTAGGGGAACTCACGTGGGTGGGGGCGGAGAGGCAAACACATCAGGGAGGATGTGGCAGGTCCTGGTGGGGTGATGTCATCCTAACCAAAGATGACTGCAGAGTAAATGGAGAGAGGCTAATAAATAATAGTGCTTAGATGGAAGAATGGGCAGGATGTGATGAAAACATTCACAGTGGCCGTGAATGACTGGCTGAGACAGAGAGGCACTGCTGGGGTACAGTGGGCTGTGGGCTGAGGAAGCCATGAAGCCTTGGTCAGAAGCATTCTACTGTACCTTGACAGCAGCCATGGGTGGAGTATTTATACTACAGAAATGAACAAATGTCACTCAAAGCTGTGCATGGTGGTGCACACCCTTATCCTAGCAGTTGGGAAACAGGCAGGAGGATGGAACAACCTCAAGGCCAGCATGGTCTACATAGTGAATTTCAGGTTAGCCTGGGCTACATAGTAAGATCATGCCTGAACCCATCCACTGTCAACAATCAGGGTATTTAATCCAGAGTGCTGATTTACCAGCATATCCAAGGTGAATCAAAGACAGAATAATTCACAATGAGAGACGCTCCATTTCCAGATACTACAGTAGTTATGTTACCTGTGGGCAGTGACAGTGAGGTTGAGGCTGATCTTTTTTTCTTTTGGTTTTTTGAGACAGGGTTTCTCTGTGTAACAACCCTAGCTGTCCTGGAACTTGCTCTGTAGACCAGGGTGGCTTTGAGCTCACAGAGATCCACCTGTCTCTGCCTCCCGAGTTCTGGGATTAAAGGAGTGCGCCACAACTGCCTGGTGATTTCTTTGTAGTCTTACACAGTTTTTAAACTTTCACAAAATATATTAGTCTTAGGTTGAAGCAGGGGGATCCCTTTAAGTAAGTTCAAGGAAAGAATGAGACCCTGTCTCAAACTAAAACCAGACTGTTTTAGCCAAGGAAAATGTAATGTAGAGGAATTATTAATCACAGGCTGAGAAGTCGAATCAGCTCGTATTCAGTGACCTGTAACCTGGTTTCAGCTCTGCTCTGTTTTAAAGTACACTGACCGAAAGCAACTCAGGGATTCATTTGGTTTACAGTTCCAGACAATAGTCTATTACTGATGAAGGGTACAGGCAGAACTCAGAGCAGCTACTCATACCACATCCATAACCAAGAGCAAGGAAAGAGAGTAAAAGCGCAGATCCCTGCTTGCTTGCTCTTTCCCCAGCTAGCTTCTCCAAACTATGGAGTGGTGCTGACCAGTCTCCCTAGCTCAGTTAACGATCAAGACAGCTTCCTACAGACACACCCGCAGGTGACGGCTGTATAAAGCTGACTATTAAAAAATAACCAGCCCAGCGTTGGCAGGCACCATGTCTGACAATCTGAGTTCCATCTCCGAGACCCAGAGGGCAGAAAGAGACACTTGACTCCCAGAGTTGTGCTATGACCCCCACACATATGCCACAGTACACCCCCATACCACTCAAATAAAATGTAGTAATAATAAAACTTTCCCCAAGTTTTTCAATTATGTGTCTTCATGCCATAGATGGACATGTCAGAAGAATGCACACCTATGTTACGCTATGTTCTTAACTAGAAACGGAAACACTGTGTATGTGGTGGTGTGACTCTGGGGACGGAGCCCAAGGCCTTATGCACACTAAGAAGCTGTGCCACCTTTGTCCTCTGGAAGTTTAAATCTAGCCTTCAACAAGATTAGGTCACAGGCTGGCAAGATGGCCCAGTGGGGAAAGTGCTTGTGGAGTAAACCAGCGTCCACAGGGAAGAGGGACAACCCTGCAAAGTTGTCCTCTGACCCCTTCATGGGTGCTGTGATAGGTGTGCACCTACATTCACACGCACACATCATATATGCACACAATCACCATAATAATAGCAATAAAATTTGAGTCACCGAGAAAGCAGAGTGGGAGAATGAGGAGAACCTGTTAGTACAGGATACACCCCTGGATAAGACTGATTTTTCTTTTTTAAATTTTATTTGTATTTGTCGTGTGTGTGTGTGTGTGTGTGTGTGTGTGTGCACGTCCATGCCCATGGGTGTCACGGAACTGCTATGAAGGTCATAGGACAACCTGTGGGACTGGTTCTCTTTTTCCACCACGTGAGTCCTAGGGATCAAACTCAGGTCTTAGGGTTTAGCAGCAAGTGCTCTGACCCACTATGCCATCTTGGCAGCCCCTCGAGATAATACCGTAATAACAGAAGAAAGCGTTTCTCTGCCATCTAACTCCAGGTGTCTTGTTTGAAAGTAGAGGATTACTTTCTCTAATCACCTCGATTGGCTTTTTAACAGGACCTCAAAGAGCAGCATTGTTACAGAGCCCAAGGGACCTGCTTTGTGCTTACCCGTGATTACTCTGCAACACTTCTCTTCTAACCCTGGAAAATTCCTCAGTATTCTGTTCAACATGTTCGATTTTGCATCTCAAGGCTCGGTACTTGGCAAGAGACGGTGGGTTGGGTTTGGATAGATGAGTTTCACAAACATTCACCATGTCTCTCACCAGCTGCGGGTAGAAAGGATACAGAGAAGTTAGCTACCACACATCCAAGGGAATGTGTGTATTACCTTCATATTTTCTGAAAAGAGAAAAATTAGTTTTTTCTACAAGGTTTTTGATTAATAGTTGGTGTTGGTAGTATACTAAACCGAATAAATCTGGGCGTGGCAGCTCACATCTGTAACCTTAGCACTTGGGGAAAGGCAGGAAGACCGCTATGAGTGCAAGGCTAGCCCAGGTTAGATGGTAAATTCCAGGCCAGTCCAACTTGCAGTGCAAGACTGTTCTCAAAAGTAAAAACAAAGTTTCTAAAAATCAGAAGGCTTGGTACAATACCAGTTTTCCTGGCTACTTGGGAGACTGAGGCAGGATTACTTGAGCCCAGGAGTTGAAGGCTAGTCTGGGATGCATAAGAGAAACTCCCATCTCCAAGACAGACAGACAGACAGACAGACAGAGAAAGAATTGCCTCACTGATACCACAGTGGAAGTATACATTAGTATTGTGCTTTAAATTAGCTACTTTTCCCACTGGTGTGCCAAAATACCCAACAAAGGCAACTTAAGGAAGGAAGGATTGATTAGGTTCTTGGTTTAGGGAGGATAGCCCACCATGGTGGAGAAAAGTTGGTGGTGGGATCGTGGGACTGCTGGTCATGTTGTCTGCAGTCAGGAAGCAGCGAGACATGAAACGCTGCTGTCAGCTCACTTCCTCCTTTGCACTCAGTCTTGGACCCCAGTCCATGGGACGCTGCTGCCCACATTTAGGGTGAATCGTCTCTTCTCAGTCAAACAGCTCTAGAAACGTCCTCACAGAAATGTCGAGAAGTGGATTCCAAATCCCAACAAACTGACGTCGAGAGCACACACAATCACCACAAACTGACGTCGAGAGCACACACAATCACCACAAACTGACGTCGAGAGCACACACAATCCCAACAAACTGACATCGGGAGCACACACAATCCCAACAAACTGACGTCGGGAGCACACACAATCATCACAAATGTGACTTTTTTGTTTGTTTTGCTTTGTTTCTTTTTCTGGCTGTCCTAGAACTCACTGTCTAGACCGGGTTGGTCTGGAACTCAAAGATGTCCACCTGCCTCTGCCTCCTGAGTGCTGGGATTAAAGGTGTGGGTCACCTTGTCTGGCACACACATCATCTTTACAAGATTAATTTATCTTTTATTTTGTATGTATAAATGTTTTGCCTGCCTGTATGGATGTGTCTATACATATGCCTGGTACTGGTAGAAGTCAGAAGAGGACATGGGATCCCCTGGAAATGGAATTGTGGATGGCCGTGAGCCACCACGTGGGTGGTAGGAACTGAAACTAGGTCTTTGGCAAGAGCAACAAGAGCGCCTAATCACCACGCTCCCTCCCCTGAGACAGGCTGGTCTCAGACTTGCTATGTACTTGAGACTGCCCTTGAGCTCCTTCTCCTTCTGCCTCCCTTGAGTGCTGGGATTCATGCCTGGCATTATTCTCCACATAGATTTTATTATTATTATTACTATTATTATATTTTCATTTGTTTTTTGAGACAGAGCCTTTCTACATAGCCCTGGATAACCTTGAACTCACTATATAGACCAGGGTGGCCTCAAATTCACAGAGGCCTGCCAGCCTCTGCTTTCCAGGTGCTGGGATTAAAGGCATGTACCATCATGCCCAGTTTTATTTCATTTTTAAAAAACTTATTTATTTTTATCTGTATGAGTATTTTGCCCACATGCATGTATGCATACCATATGCATGCCTGGTGCCCACAGATACCAGAAGATGACACTGGGTCCCCTAGAACTGTAGTTACAGATGGCTGTGGGCCACCACATGAGTGCCGGGAACTGAGTTCAGGTGCTCTGCAAGAGTGGTCAGTGCCCTGAACCACTGGGCCATCTTTTCAGTCCCAATTCACCATAATTTAAAGTCATGATGGTGCAAGACATTTTAAACCGAGTTCTTTATTCCAGGGCCGTACCTGACAAAGGTCCTCTTTCTGCGCTAACAACCTCAGGTTAACTTCTTCAGATGCTGGGTGTTTGTGAGGAATCAGTCGGTAGAAATCGGCCATCGTCTTCTGCAGTTGCTCTGCTGGTTCTCCATTCTTCAGCGCTGTTTTTATGAGAAGGAGAACCCCCTCTGCTTTACTCACCTGCCAACAGAAAAGCAAATATGCTTATTAAAGTTTAAATCCTGATAATCATAGAAGAGGTGTGCATAAAAGTATCTGAAATAGCTGCTAGGGACATTGGAACTACGAGTTTTCTGTAGACCACTGACTATGCTACAGTTTGGGCCTTTAAAAAAATAGAATATCTTTTATTAAATCTTTCACAGTTTCAGTCCTGTTAGTTTGGGTCTTAACTGTGTTCCTAAAGTCCGGATTTTGAAGCTTAGTCCCTAGGGAGGTGCTTCAGGCAAGAGGTGGGACCTTTAGGAGGAAGAGCCTCTCTTTCCTTTTGCTTCTTGGCCTTGAAGTGAGTGGGTTTTGCATCACGATACACTCCTGATAGGATGCACTGCCTCCTCCGAAGCCCAAACAACAGGCCCAATCTACCAAAGCCTGAGATCTACAACTATGGTCCATAAGAAATCTTCTCTGTAGAAATGGACTGTCTCTGGTGTGTCCTTATAGTGACTGAAAACTGACTCACACAGCCACCAGAGCAAACGCTGATCTTAAGGTCCAGCTCAGTTGTGAGTGAGGCCAGGAAGGAGGATGCTTGCAAAGCTGGTCTCGGCTCAACTGTGGGGACACTTGTAGGGGCTCTTCACGTCTTTTTATTTTATTTTTTTTATTTTTATTTATTTTTTTTTTTTGTTTTTCGAGACAGGGTTTCTCTGTGCTATTGGAGCCTGTCCTGGAACTAGCTCTTGTAGACCAGGCTGGTCTCGAACTCACAGAGATCTTCGCATCTTTTTAAAAACAATTTTTAATTTACTCTTTGGTAGTCTTACACGTGCGTGCACTTTGATCAGACCCACTCCTTCTTTCATCCCTCTCCTGCTCCTTCTGGATCCTTCTTCTTTTCAACACGTGCCCCGCTACACAAACATCTTTCTAAAAATGACCCACTGAGTTTACTGATGGTTGCTCGCATTTGTCTAAGTGCAGGGTTATTCTCTGGATCATGGCAACTTATGAGTGGCTACCCCATTGAGGAAAGACGCAGTAGCATCTACTATACACATGTGGACATGAACAGACAGGAAGACAAATGCAATTGTTGCTTTTCTTTTTTTCTTTTTGGTTTTTCAAGACAGGGTTTCTCTGTAGCTTTGGAGCCTGTCCTGGAACTAGCTCTTGTAGACCAGGCTGGCCTTGAACTCACAGAGATCTGCCTGCCTCTGCCTCCCAAGTGCTGGGATTAAAGGCATGCGCCACCACCGCCCGGCTAAGACTTGCTTTTCATAGAGAAACATAGAGCGATGTCAGCATCAAACCAGAGACATGTTCCTAATTATGAGAGTGCATTATGAACATTGCATCACTGGGAATATCTTCTGTCAATCACTTGTTCTTTCCGCCACCATTACACGTAATAGAAAAGAGAACACCATATGCTGGTGTGCTAGAAGCAAGCCTGCCTTCCCTAAGACGGTGAGAAGGTGAGAGGCTGAAGGAGTTGTTTCGAGTAGGTCAGGATCTGGGTATCTAAAAGTGGGCACTACCACTCTGTCCCTTGGCAACAACACCCTTGGCACCAACACTTAGGCCTGTATTGGCCACCACTGAGAACCAATGTGACAGGGACATCTGATTCTCTTAATGCTCCCTTTCTTCAGTGAATGAGGAAAGGACAGTGAGGGGTGGACTTCAGAGGAAAGCAACCAGTACGTGACTGTTAGCATTAATGTTTACACCAGTCCACCAGGAAGTAGCTTCGTTGTGTTGATTCAATGGCATGCTTGACTTACGTCATTCAGGCTTATGCTGTTCACCGGCTTGAGAAGTGTGTGCTCCAGGTGCCCCAGAGCTTCTGCCCAGATCATCTCCACCAAAGCGCTCACCTCCTGGCTCAAAGCGCCTGAACTTATGACCTCCTCCAAAAGCAACTGAAACAACAAAACCACAAAGAATCACCACCAATAAAAGTCCTCATGAGCATTTTTTGTAAAACAGACACAGGGGCTGGATATGGGTCAGTAGTTGAGCACCTGTCTTGGGTTCCATGTCCAGCCTCACAAACAAAACAACAGCATATATCCAGAAAGGAAGCATTAGAAAAAATAACAGAGCCCAAGAGAGGCACCCACTCCCATAGCCAGACACTGCAGCAGGGAATGGCTTGATTTGTCCCTCAGGGTTCATATGCTGGCAGCCTGGTCCCCACTGTGGAACGGTTGGGTAGTAATCCCCACTACACCCCACAGTGGTCGACCCTGAAAGAAGAGACTGGTGGAGGGTACTCAGAACACAGGGCGGAGCCTCAGTGTGCATGGACACTTTTCTTGATGGACGTTCTCCATGTCATTATGTAGACAAGTGGTCTTCAACAGGATGCCAGAGTCAAGGGGCTTATACCTTCAAGCCACTAGATTGTGAGTCAAATAAACTTTTTTGTTGTTGTTATTGTTGGTTTTGTTTTTCGAGACAGGGTTTCTTTGTGGCTTTGGAGTCTGTCCTGGAACTAGGCTGGAACCAGGTTGGCCTCGAACTCACAGAGATCCACCTGCCTCTGCCTCTTTGAGTGCTGGGATTAAAGGGGTGCGCCACCACCGCCTGGCTCAAATAAACTTCTTCGTAAGGTTTTTAGCCTCGTGTATCTTGTGATAGCAACAGAGAGCATACGAGGATGCTGGGTAACTGGCAACTCAGGCTTCCTTTCCCCACTGGGGTTCCTGTTCCTCATTGCTCACTGCATATACTCCTGCTGGAGGCCCCCACTCCTACCACTTCTCTCCCATTTTATTCTTCCTCTTGCCTTTTCCGCTACTCTGTAAGATGTAGGCCTATCTGTGGCACTAAACCACACACATGCAGTAAGAGTTAAGGAGCCTGGAGTCATAGCCCCGACTGCAGTGAATTCTTTCAAAGACTGAGCTTGTTGCTGAGATACACAACACATCTTGTGGCTTCTCCCACATCCTAGCCAGTGTTCATCTCTTCTTTTAAGTTTATGGTTTTTCGTAAGCTCCCCTTCTCCTCTGCCAGATTTGTTCCTGTTTTGTTTTTTTACTTAAGACATTATTTCCTTCTTTGAGACAGGCCTTCAGGAAACCACAGCTGGCTTCAAACCCACTATGCAGTTCTGGATAAATGAACTTTGGATCTTCTCAATTCAGCCTTGGATTATAAGTGTGAGACCCCACACCTGACTTGGATTATAAGTGTGAGATGCCACACCTTTAACACAGCACTAAGGAGGCAGAGGCAGGTGGATCTCTGAGTTCAAGGTCAGCCTGGTGTACAGAGTGAGTTCCAGAACAGCCAGGGTTACACAGGGAAACCCTGTCTCAAAAACAAAAGCAAACAAAAAATAAATGAAGTCAAAAGTAGAGAGATGAGTCAGTGGTTAAGCGCAATGGCTCCCCTTCCAGAGGGCCTGAGTTTGATAGTCAGCGCCTACAGGTCACCTCATAACCATCTGTGACTCCAGCTCCAAGGGACTTGATGCCTTCTTCTGTCCTCTGTGTTATGAATACAGAGCAAGGTGGGACATTTAGGAGGTCCCATGGTGCGTGAAAGACAAATATGCCATCAGGCAGGACTCACATGGAGAGTTTATTGGAGGAAGAGAGGAGAGGGAGGGAGAGATAGAAAGAGAGAGACAGAGAGACAGTGAGCTGCCTCCTCAGAGAAGTGGGAGTAGGCAGGGTTTGTCTCTTAAAGGGGCAAGGCTAAGGTGTGCCTGGATGCTAACACTAACAGTACATGTAGTATACAGACAGGCACACAGGCAAAACATCATACACATAAAATAACTACAAATACATACTCAAATTGCTGGATGCAGAGGCAGATAAATCTGTGAGTTTAAAGCCAGCCTGATCTACATAATAAGCTCTAAGCCAGACAGAGCTACATCTCTGGGTGTGGTGGTACCCGACTAAAATCTCAGCACCAAGAAGGCTGAGGCAGGGGGTTTGAGTTTGATACCCTTCTGGACTAAAGACTGAGAGAGTATCTAAAATAACAAACCAAACCAAACAACAACCACACACACCCCCTCCCCACTCAACCAAAACAGCACAATCCTGGCTTACTGCTTGCAGCTTTTCAGATGCTAATTGTGTTGCTTCCGCTGTGAAGAGCTCTCGGAGCAGAAATCCTTGTCTCTTCAGGTCTTCAATGTAGCGTTCATAATATTCACTGGCGCCTTCAGAGGTCTGCTTTCCGGTGCTCTCTCTTCTCGTCTGGGAAATGCAGTACACAGAAAGACACAGGTACTTATGAACACGCTCATCCTCAGTGAATACCTACACCCTGCCATAAAGGGGTTCAACACTGCTTTTCTTAAACAATTGCCATGTTGCTGGGCAGTGGTGGTGCACGCCTTTAGTCCCAGCACTTGGGAGGCAGAAGCAGGCGGATTTCTGTGAGTTGCAGGCCAGCCTGGTCTACAAACAAGGGCTAGTTTCAGAATAGGCTCCAAAGCTACACAGAGAAATCCTGTCTTGAAAAATCAAACAAAAAACAACAAAACAAAAAAACAACAAAAAAGAATTACCATGTGGTGTGAATGGAAATGTCTCCCACAGGCTGACCTTAGTGCTAGGTCTCTAGTTGGCAGGTGATTTTTGAGAAGGCTTGGAGGTATGACCTTGCAGTGGGGGATGGGTGGTTGGGAGAACATCATGGGGGTGGCAGGGCAGGCTGGCACACTTTCCTGCCCTGATATGGTTAAGAGTCTTATTCCCTTGGAAGAGAAAGTCCACATAAACCCTCCCATCTCTAAGTTGCACTGGTCCTGGTGTTTTGATTATAGCAACAGAAAAGAAACACTTAAACTGTTCCGTTTTCACCAGGGTAGCCTTAAAGCTGGAGGTGCAGGAGGAAAAGCCCGAGTGGGCAGCACAGAAAAGACTCCTGGCGGGGAAGCATTCGTTCAAGCAGGCTTCAGCGCTGGTGGGCTCCTCGTACAATGAACTCGGAAGACTGGTACTCCTCTCCTTTTTGGAAGTGCAGAAAGTCAATCAAGGGTGGGGAAGAAGAGAAGAAATCCCTGGAAAGGATGGTACAGCTGGGGACGGCATCAGTCAGGACAAAGTGAGCTCCCAGGAGGAAGAGCGCAGAAAGGTTCTGTGCTCAGGCAGATGAAGGGAAAGGCACAGGTCCCTCAAGACCACTCACAGGCAGCACTTTCTGCTCTTCCCGGAAACCCATCCCGTGACACGGAGCGACTCAGCTGACACTGACCCCAGACGAGGGAGGAAGATGGAGTCCTGGTGTCCCCTAGATGTTGACTAATCCTGACTCTGAGGTGTACGGCTACAGGGCGATGTCACACTCATGGACTGTTCGCATCGGGGCATCTGAACTGTGTAGAAATGATGTATATTCCCAAGTCACTCCATTTAAAAGACAGATGCTAGAGTTTGGATCTTAACTGGACCAGGGCCAAAGAGAACCACAGGGGCCTCATACCTGCTAGGCAGGATTCCTACCACTGAGCAACAGCCCTAAAGCTTTTGTTTTCTTTTAATTGTTAAAAATGGGTGCTGGGAGCCAAAGCAAGCACTGGGCCTCTGAGTCATCTCTCTAGCACCAACCTTCTTAAAGTTAGTTATTTCAGGTAATTTGTTAAGTGGTGGAGAGCGTCCTAACAATGGAGATTTCTGCTAAGATGGCTTCATGTGACAGGGCAAGCAGAAGCCTCTTCCTGAACACCTCTCACTACTGCTTAGGTGAGGCTTTCCCCTGGCAGGTGGCCAGGGTTCCCCCACACAGACACCAGGAGCCTCTGCTGGAGTGCTGGGATCTGAGCCTGCTAAGGATGGAGGGTAGCCAAAGTGCTAAGTATTTTTTCTTAGATGACAAACCTCTCTGCTGACAATGCAGTAATCCCAATCAGATCAGATCAGACCAAATTAAAAGATACCCAGGTTTAATGGCTACCACCATCATCACTCTTGGGTGGCCCCTTGATATGGAAGACCACAAAAAAAACAAAACAAAACAAAACAAAAACAAAAACGAGGAGGCCATGTGTTCATTCTCTGGGGGGCAGTTTAAATAGCCTATGGGAGTGGTCTTGACCTTTGGGGGGGGTGTCACCATTTGGCAGGCTTTTTTGACCCTCCCTGGGGAGGGAGCGTAGGCCAGGAGTTAGGGTGAAGCCCCCAGCTAAACAGTATGACCTACACAGAGTTACTCTCTTCTTCCTTAAAGATATAACACAGCCCATCATGGATTTTTTTAAAAAATTACTTTTTATCCAAATAACAAGTAACCACATAGAAAGTTAAACATCTCCTACCTGGACACATCTGACCCTGGATTAAGGCTCTAACTCTGTCCGCAGGGAAACCTGATAAGTCAGCTAGGAGGCTGGTGCAGTAGGCTCACAATCCCAACATTTGAGAGGTTGAGGCAAGAGTGAGATCTGTCTCCAACCTTCCACCCCTCCCAAAACAGCTGTAACCTGTAGCAACACCTCCAGTAAACTCGCATCAAGGTTAGGACTTCACTGCTTTGGGCTTTCTTGCGAGTAGCAATTCATAGGACGCGATACATCTCCAGGGTCACCTGGAACCCATGCTCTGAGATATGAGCACCTGAGGGTCAGGGCTTCCCGAATGGTCCCATCTGAGGTGTGTGTCTTTCCTCTCCACCTGGGTAACATCTGGGCTAGGGGCCAGATGAGAAGCTTCCAGAGCCTCTGTGGACCTGTGTGAGGACCTCTCTCACTGAAGAATGGACTCTGTGTCCTGCATGCCGCTGTGTTTCTGGCCACAATAGATCTGCAAGGCCGATTATCTACGTGAGAAGACTCCCTGGTGGGCGATGCTTGGTGCACACTTTAATTTTTGGGCGTTCGCTCTGGATCTATTTTTTTTTCTTTTTTTGGATTTTCGAGACAGGGTTTCTCCGTAGCTTTGGTTCCTGTCCTGGAACTAGCTCTTGTAGACCAGGCTGGCCTCGAACTCACAGAGATCTGCCTGCCTCTGCCTCCGAGTGCTGGGATTAAAGGCGTGCGCCACTGCCGCCGGGCTCTGGATCTATTTTTATTTCAGAATTGTTTTAGAACAGCTGGGCTCCTGACTCGACACTGAACTAGGCTTCTGTGAAGCCTTCCTTGTGATGTCCAGCATTCTGTGACCTGAGTCTCGAGTACCTCATGTTATGATGTTAGCCAACCAGCAAGGCTGGCACTTCCAGGTTCCAGGGCCACGCATGTGCAGACAAAGACCTCAAGCAAAATACCCCAGGGACCTTAAAGGCCCGGCATGACCCATGTGCAGCATGGTCGCGTCACCTACATATGACGCAGCTACATAAGCCCTTGCGTGCGTGCCTGAGCTCCGTCACCTGGGTGAGCTCCGTATGACGTGGCTATGTCATCCCCTTGTTGCTTGCGCTAGGCAGCATTTAAAAGCTGGACATGCTATCTTCAGCCCTCTCTTTCTGCACACCGACTTCCCCAGGCCTGTACACGTCTCCTCTAATAAATTCCTAAGCGGGTTTGTTGCGTGTTTCGTGCTTCCTTCTCACCCGCGCCAGGTAGTCTCACCTCACATGCACAACAGAGTCCGGACTGTCACAGTGAGTCCCAGGGAAGACTCTGTTGAGAGGCAGGTGTGTGGTTCATGCCCGTAATGGTAACACTATGGGGGCTAATGAGGAGTGCCAAGTTTGAAGGAAGCCTGGAATACAGAGTGAGAATGTCTGTCTCTTTAAGATATGGGGGTGGGGTAGGGTGGGAAAGAAAAGGAACAAAGGCGAAAAAGATGAGGAGGAGTAGGAAAAGATGGGTGAGGAGGAAGAAAAGAGTGCAGGAGGAGGGAAAGATGGAGGACGAGGAGGAGGAGGAGGAAGAAAAGGCGGGTGAGGAGGAGGGGAAGATGCAGGAGGAGGAGGGAAGATGGGTGAGGAGGAGGGAAAGATACTGGCAGAGGATCTCTGCTACCTTTTGATCTTGGACTTTCAGCGTCCAGCACAGTGAGGAAACAGCTTCTGTTGCTTGAGCCACCCAGTAGCCATACTATTCATTTCAGCAGCCCAGCTGACTATGCCCCCAGATATGAAAACACTTAGCAGGTAGATAGGCGGCTTGATTCCTTTAAGCAAACTAGCAACAGGAGGAGTAAAGACACAGGAACATAACTCAAGGCATCACCTGCACGCGGTCAGCCAGGAGGAAGTGCGCTGATATCACAAAGGGGCAGTCCCCGGGGTCCTGGGAAGACTGCAGCTCTACTACCACAGTCTCCAGGCCTCTGTCCGCTCCCACCTGCAAGACAGGGTACCTTTTAGAAGCAGAGCTATGGAGACTAGCCACCCTCCACATCAGAAAAGGCTGCCTAATATGCTGGATCAATGTATCTTAGAAAACACGGAAGTATCAAGAGAGTAAAAATCACCCCAAACCCTAACAGAGTAATATAATCACTACCAATATTTTTGTATAATTTTTCTCTGTGTATTTATAATGCCACTTTCACATATTTTATTATAGAGGGAAATACCCTTTTAAATTTATTATTCAAACATCCAAAATATAAGTGGGTCATCACTTCAAAGGCAAGTGTTGATTTTAATTTGTGTGACTCTGTCAATAAAGTTTTCTGTTTTCCTTTAATCCAAAAAGAACAGTTCAACATGGCATAAATGTTTGGTGTCAAGTCTATCTTTTCCAAATATTAGAAACAGTTAATGACAAAGTAGAGATTTATTTCTAATGCCATATTGATGTTTTAGATTGTTAAATATTTGGCTGGATTGTGGCTCAGTTAGTTGAGTGTTTGATTAGCAAGCCTGAAGCCCTGGGTTTGACTGCAAGCACTGCAAAACTGGATGGTGCATAATTATAACCCAAGCATTTGGGAGGTGGAGGCAGAAGGATCAGTTAAAAGCCATTTTCCACTATGTAGCAAGTTCAAGGCTAACCTGGGATACACGAGATCCTGTCTCAAAAACAAATAAAGTATGAGCATGAATGACTTTCACTAAGAACACTAAAAGAATCTCTTTTTCTTCTTTAAAATTTATTTAGTTTTTGGGTTTTATTTGAGAGGGTTTATTTGGGTTTCATTGTATAGCTGCGGTTGTCTTTGAACTCACCTTTGGCTCAACCTCCTAAGTGTTGGGATTATAGGCATGGAGTACTACAATAGGCAAAAATTTAAACAATTTCTGAGCACAACAGCCAACTCGAGTTACAGGACATGTGATGTTCAGAATATGAACAGCTTCTTACGACAATGAGGAAATCACCAAAGAGGAAACGCTTTCAGAAATTAATCAGTTTCTTTTCTCTAAGTAAAAATAAGACTCTTACTTTTTCCAAGACATTATACTTCACAACTTCAAAGTCTTGAAGAAAATGAGGAATTTCGACATTTTCCGCAGAAACCCTGAAAATTATATAATTAACCATTTAAGACTAAAAGGGAGTTTTGGACCACACAGAATCTCCCAACAGATCCCCCATTCCTTATGATGTATGGAGTAAATTTTCGACGCCTCCTCAAGTAGTCTAGAAATGGTTAAATAATTGTGAAAAAGGAGCTTGAGTCATCTTCTGCATAACAAATTGATTAGTTATCATTTTCTGGTTTTACATTGAAGGTGGAGTGTGATAATTATTTAACCTGCGCGTTCTGTGAGGGCTGACCAGGGAAATCTCCGTCCTCCTCTTCCGGACTCCCAGCACCATGGCCAGACCCTAGTGCACAGGAGGTGAGGACAGGCTACAGAAGCAGACACAAAAGACAGGGCCACCTTCTCTGGTCAGCGTGTTTGGTCGTGGCTCCGACTCCAAGCAATGGTTTTCTGAGCTACAAGTCCTTTATAATATAAAGGAGTCCAGAGTATCACCTGTCCTTTGCTTGTTGGCTTTGTTTTGTGAGGCAGGGTCTCCATAGGTAGCTCAGCCCTGCCTCAGCCCCCAAGTGCTGGGATTACAGGCACACATCACCACCCTCAGCACCATTTGTACTTTCAATACCACGACTGAAGTTTTCAAAGTATTTGGCTTACTGGGTGACGTCAGTGTTTTCATTCTCTGGTGTGTTGTCCAAAGACACATCTTCTATTCCCACCTCTGGAATTAAAAGGAAAACTTGTTAGCTGTTCAAAGATTTACAATTAACTGTGAACCAAACTGCTAGAATTGCTATGATTATTTTTTTTTGGTTGTTTGTTTTCTTTTTCCTAGTCAGGGTTTCTTTGTGTAGCCTTAGCTGTCACTGGAACTCACTCTGTAGACCAGGCTGGCCTTGAACTCACAGAGATTCACCTGCCTCTGCCTCCCAAGTGCTGAGATTAAAGCCACGTGCTACCACCACCCGACCTTGTTATGATTCTTAAATGTGATTATTTGCTGTATAATTCCCCTCCCCATTCAGTGTTCTGGGGACTCAAACTCAGGGCCTTACACAAGCCAGGTAAACACTCTAACGCATACCCTCAGCCTCAGTTAAGTTTTCGTTTTGTTGGGTTTTTTTTGGATGTTTTGGTTGAGGGTTTCACCATGTTTCCCAAGCTGGCCACGAACTCCTAGGCCCCAGTGATCCTCCTGTACCATCTTACCAACCCAGCCATCACTTTCTTCTTTCTTGGTTTTTCGAGACAGGGTTTCTCAGTAGCTATGGAGCCAGTCCTGGAACTCACTATGTAGACCAGGCTGGCCTCGAACTCACTGAGATCCATCTGCCTCTGCCTCCCTGAGTACTGGGATAAAGGCATGCCACCACCACCTGGCTAGCAATCACTTTCTCAACACCAAGGATTATTCTACCCCCAGTTAAATTTACACACGGGGCCTGGGGATTGCACCAATAGTAAAGCGGTTTGCATGTGTGAGGCGCTGATTTTCAGCTCCAGCAGCCAAGCAAAAGGCCGAGGATGGCAGGGCAATCTAGAAACCCCAGTGCTGGGCAGCAGGAAACAGGAGGACGCTGGGGCTCCCTCACAGACCATCTTAGACCAATTGGTGAGCTCCACACCAGTGGGAGGCCCTATCTGAAAGGAGGTGGACGGCACATGTGCACCATGGGGCATTTATTTAATAAATACATTAAAATATAATAGTTTTTTAAAAAAATTACACATCACATATTCTGAGGCAGTCAGGGTTTACTAGTCATTTTAAGTCTAACCTCAGTAGACGTCACACTGAAAAATCTCTATCTGTAGCTAAGCTGGCCTTTCATCCTTCAGGATTTTGTTTCCTGGGTCTGAGGTGAAATGAATTATTTTGTAGTATTCCTGGATAATTTTTTTCCTCACAACACCTGTGACATGTCCAAATGTCTACCACAGCATTGATCACACGTTAAGGGCTTGGTAGGACACACTCACCAACACAGCTCTCGTCACCTGGAGGGGACACGACAGCCAGTGACTTGGGATCATAGTTCTTCACGTCCAGGAGTCTCCTCTGCTTGACAGAGTCCCATATGAAATCTGGGCTTGCAATCTGGACATCATTCTTCTGGATGGAGCTCAGCTGATACCGACTCAGGATTTCAGCATTGTCTAAGATCACATGTGTGCACTAAAGGAAAACAGTACGTTCATTATACAGCAGCAAAAACAATATTGACCAACAGTATTTGTTATCTGTAACTTTAACCCCTAAAGGTCTTATTTTATTTAAAAGTGTTTAAGTTCATAGTGATTTTTTTTCAGATTTTAGAAAAACTTTAAAAATGAACACGTTGTCACTCCCCACCCCCACCGCCCCAACCACAGTTTTAGACCAAACCTAGAGCCACGATATGCTGCTAGGAGAGCACCCACACTGAGCTCCATCCTCTGACCTAAGCCAATAGTGACCACACTGTGGGTATGGATGGGCTACATCACAGGTAGCTTCCAAGTGCTCCATGCTGGGAGTGCACTCATGCATATATCTTTAGTACTTCTTCTATGCTCTCTTGAGGCAGAGGCAGGAGGATCTCTGCGGACTCAAGGCCAGCCTGGTCTATAAAGCAAGTTCCAGGACAGCTAAAGTGGTTACACAGAGAAACCCTGTCTCAAGAGGAAAACACACACACACACACACACACACACACACACACACACGAAAACAAAAGAAAAAGAAAGAAAAAGAAAACGGAGGTATCAAAAGGTATTTATTTTGTTACTTCTATTTGGTTTTTTAAAAACTGGGACTGCACGTGTGTGTCTGTGTGTGATGTGTTTGTTCATCTGTGTGCTGTGGGTGCGTGTATAAGCCACACCGTGCACGTCAAGGTCAGAGGACAACACTGGATGCCAGTCTTCATGTACCTTGTTTGAGACAGGATCTCTTTGTCATTTGCCACAGATAATATACATATGTGTGTGTATCCACACATACATACTTCTGTTTCTACTTCCTGTTTCACTGTAGGAGCTCAGGGATTACAGACCATGTTTCTTCATTTGCATAGCTTCTGGGGTCCAAACTCAGATCCTCACTTTACCCACTGAACCATCACCCTCGCCTCCCGTTTTTTTCTGCTACAGTGTGAATAAAGAGTACACGCATATTGTAGATATTTATAAAGTAATAACAGGGATCCACCACCCTCCCCCACTGCTGCTCCTCAGAGATCTTTCTAGAGCTCTTCTTTACAGACAATGGGTATAACCGCACAGAGGGTAGCACACTTTTATACTATCTGAGCTTGCTTTTCCACTTATAAAAAGTTTATCTTCAAGTTCATTCCTCATCATTAGGTATATACAGATGTTTATTTATTGTTACATCTGACTGCATTTTTCCTTTTAAGACAGTCTCCTGCAGCCCAGCCTGGTGTGGAACTTGATCTTCATTCACACCTCAGCCTTCCAAGTGATGGGATTACAGATGGGAGCCACCTTACCTGGCTCTGTGTCTCCTTTATCACTGCTGCTGTGCATGTTTCAAACACTTACATACATTGGCAAAAATAAATAACAAAAGTTCAAAAGATCTCACACAGCATGTGAGAGTTTCCCAAACAACGGAGACCCTTGTCTCTACCCAGAAGACAGCTTACTTATTGCTTCTTTTTTTTTTTTTCTTTTTCAAGATGGGGTTTCTCTGTGTAGCCCTGGCTACCCTGGAACTCTCTCTGTAGACCAGGCTGGCCTCGAACTGACAGAGACGTGCCTGCCTCTGCCTCCCCGAGTGCTGGGATTAAAGGTGTGTCCACCACCATCAGGTTTACTTATTACTATTCAGTGGATTATTATCTACCCATGAAAACGGAGGCTGGGAAGCCAGGAAGCCATGTGATGGACGCATGCAGATCTCTTCCTGAACTGAGGCAAGTGGGGACTGCTCTTTGTGGTGCCCTGCTGGAGCTGAACTGGCCTCTTAGAGAAGATGAGGCTCTCTATGGTTAATACCCGGATGGACCCAGGGAGAGGTAACCAGGGTCAGACCGAGCAACACAGGGGAGAGGAAAGACAGGGCTAGCAGGTCTGGGACATACTACCTTCAGACTTCCATTCCACTTGTGAGACTGTATCTAAACTCTTAGGCCTACAGTTCATCTCGTGAGAAGCAGCAGCTTCCTTCAGCTCTTCTGAGGTAAGTAAGCTACTGCAGAAAGACTAGTTCACATTGCGCTTCTGCCCCTGCGCTGCCCTCCTGGCCAGTGACACAGCGTGCCTTTCACAAGCAGGTACACTATGACTCTCCTCTTTAAAAAACAGGCATGGCTGGTCTGAAATTCTATTTACATCTGTGCCTAAACCCGAATGGTTATCAGATTCCCAAGATAGGAACTCCCAGCGCAGAAGGCTGGGCTCAGTCCTCTAGCACCCCCTGCTTCTTCTGGCCCATCCCCCAGGGGACCACACCCCAGTGTCACCTGCTACCAGTCTTCTCTGCTTACTCTAACCAGAGCCGTGTTCCCTGAAAGTTCGTATTAACCAGAAAGTAACGGTAAGATTTGGAAATACCTGAGGATTTAATAAAAATGAAAAGTTTCCTCCATTCTCCTTGATATCAGCCTGCAGCTTCTTCTTCTCTTGACGAGGTAAGTGTTTGACTTTCAAGCAAAACGTACAATTTGCAAAGATCCCCAAAGCCATCCTGGAAGAAAAAATGGGTTCGAGTCACAGGCTTCAGCTGCTGTTGTCATTATTGTTTGTCATCTCTATGTATATGATACACTGAACACACCCCTTTCATACCTCCACCCCCTCACTCTGTGATCTGCTGTGCCATCCTAGACACTTTTACTTCTGGATACATACATATGTATCACATATATACATACATGTGTGATTTTATATGTTTATATGAAATTCATGACGCACAAATGAGAGAAAACATATTTGTCTTTCTGGGATTGGCTTAATCTAGTTGCATCCATTTTTCTGCAAATAACATGATTTGCTCCTCTTTATTGCTGAAAGAAATTTGATTGTGTATATACATTATATTTCCTTTATCTGTTCCTGTTGTCGGACACCCTTGTTGATTCCATAATTTAACTATTGTGAATAAACATTGATGTGCAAATATCTCTGGGATATGTCAACTTGTTTTGTCGAGACACTTTGAGCCCTTGATTCCACTGTCGCCCCCCCCCCTTTTTGAGACAGGGTTTCTCTATAGCTTTTGGTTCCTGTCCCGGAACTAGCTTTTGTAGACCAGGCTGGCCTCAAACTCACAAACTGCCTGTCTCTGCCTCCCAAGTGCTGTAATTAAAGGCATGAGCCACCACCGCCCGTCCAACTGTCTCCATCTCTTAAGTGCTCGGATTACAGGCGTGAGTCATTACAGTTTATATGGGGATGAACCCGGGGTATGTGAGGCAAGAATTCTAGCAACTGAGCTATATTCCTAGCTTAGTTATGGGTTTGACACTTTATCCCCATGTCACAGAGGAGGAACTGTGCTCCAAGTCACATGACTCAGTATAAAAAAGGGAGAGGGCTGAAATCTAGCTTCAGCCTTCATTCCCTACACACACACACACCCACAGACACGCACGCACGCACGCACACACACACACACACACACACGTACGCACGCACGCGCACACACACATGCAATCACGCATGCATGCACTCCTGTGCAGAACTTCCCATCTTTCTAGAGAATGTGAGGGTGTTCTGCTTCCTGAGTCAGACTTAAATGGAGGCAGACTACAGCCATTCCTTGGGAAAGTGAATTACATGTGGGAGTTTAATATTCAGTAGAATTTGACCACTACACAGAGCTCTTGTTGGCCTGGGTATTATTCTACAATCCATTTATTTTGGTAGACGCCTGAGCTGTGCCATAAACACTCAAGTGTTCCAGCAAGATGGGCAGCTCAGCCCACTCCACACAACCAACTTCGGGGCAGTATAAAGGGCTCAGAGGACTGCACGGCAGGGCCTTAAGGGAGTGGGGTTGGGACCCATCCACCTTTGCCTCGCTGTAGCTCTGAGAAAATGGAGCCAGTGCCATTTTTTTGTTATCAATGAAATGATGGACCAACCGTTAGCTGTGGATCCTCCACTGTGGATCCCAGTCTCATCAACAGGATCCTCACTCAGAAAGGCAATAAGACATGGAGGAGAAGGCTGAGAGACTCCCTTGAGTGAAAAGGTGAGCAGGGCAGAGGGCAAAGGCACCTGCCACCAAGCCTGAACTCCACGAGGAAGGGTGAGGCCTGGGAGGGGCCTTCAGCCTGTAGGAGAGGGCGGGACCTGTGCAGAGAAAACACCACAGTCTCAGCCGCCTCCTCGAGCTTAAGGTGGCTCTGCATTCTGCCATTCTTTTCCCCCCTCACTCTGGGGCATGCTAAGCACATGCTCTGGTCCTGGCTGCTCTCCCAGTTCCAGGGTTATACATGCGCCTTATTTTCATAGTGCTGAGGATGGAACCCCGTGGTAGGGTTCGTTTGTTTGCTTTTCAGTTATTTTCCCATGAAAAATGTTTTAGAAATATTTAAATATTTTTAATTGTGTGTATGCGTGGTCACTGGGTGGGATATGTACACACGAGTGCAGGGGCCCTTAGCGGTCAGAGATGCTGCATGGACCGCAACTGCCATTACAGGCACTTGGGAGCCACCTGGCTTTAGTGCTGGGAACTTAAATTCGGTCCCTAGTAAGAGTAGCATGCCCTGGGGAAGGTGGAGGGAAGCGGAACTGGTACATAAAAATGAGAAAAGATGGGGCTGGAGAGATGGCTCAGAGGTTAAGAGCATTGCCTGCTCTTCCAAAGGTCCTGAGTTCAATTCCCAGCAACCACATGGTGGCTCACAACCATCTGTAATGGGGTCTGGTGTCCTCTTCTGGCCTGCAGGCATACATAGGGGAATATTGTATACATAATAAATAAATATTAAAAAAAATGAGAAAAGATAATGTTTTAAAAATAAATAATAAAAAGTAATATGCACTCTTAACTGCTAAGCATTTCTCCAGTCCCCTAAAAATGCTTTTATGTCATTTTCCCAAATCTCTCTCTCTCTCTCTCTCTCTCTCTCTCTCTCTCTCTCTCTCTCTCTCTCTCTCTCTCTCACACACACACACACACACACACACACACACACACACACACACACACACGAGATTTTTGAGACAGAGTTTTTATGTCGCCCTGGCTGGCCTGGTACACACTTTGTATCTTAGTCTTGAACTTGTAACAGTTCTTTGGCCTCAGCTGTGTCCTGGGATCTCGGCTAGTTCAAGTCATAGCATTTAAGGAGGTACTTTCCAGCCAATACCGCTGACAGTGACTTTAGGGAAGCGAGTCTACATCAAAAGGAGTAACACATTCTGCTCCCCGTCCCCTTCCCTGCCGCGAATCAGGAAGCCTGGCTGCGGTTCTTACTATGCACCTTCCCACCATACAGAAAGGATAAAACGAAGCCACAAGGTCTCTCTCTTTCTCTCTGGTGCTGGGACCTGAACACTCCTTGGAACCCCCACCACAGTACTGTCCATTCGGTTCTCTGCTCGTGGTGGCAATAACAAACTTCTTAGTCCCCAGGAATGTGTCACAGTGTCCTCTTGAACCACCCGTCCCATCCAAAACCCAAGGCTAACATGACCATCCTAGCTTGCAGCAATATTAATATGTGTTGTTTTTGGAGTACTTTTTAGTTTTCATGGCTGATATTATGACTAAGAATCCTTTCTATGGGTTCGTAATGCACGTTATTGAAATTGTAGCTGCTCTGTGCTGACTGGCACAGGCAAAAACCAGCAATTGAAGCTTTCTCTTTTTCTTTTCAAGACAGGGTTTCTCTATGTATCCTTGGCTGTCCTGGAACTCACACAGTAGATCAGGCTGGCCTTGAATTCAGAGATCCACTCACCTCTACCTCCTGAATGCTGAGATTAAAAGCATAGGCCACCGCCACGACCCGCCAGGAATTGAATCTTTAATCTATGCTTTATTCAGAAATCCAGAAATTTGGCGGTCTCTTTGGTAATTTGGTAATGGGCTGACATCTTAAAGATCTGCCTTCTACCTCATGTTTAGGCAGGCTGTATGCAGAGGAGAAATAAAAATGGCCTATCATTCCAAGGTTTAGTCTTTGGTCATGTGATCGTGTCTTTATGGCTGATGATGGTGGAGCCCTCCTTCACATGGTCTCCTCTCCCTGTGTGGTGGGGGTTGGGGGATTGTGTACACCAAGGACACTGGGTCTCACATTCCTCCTGCACACGATGACATCACACTGAAGGTTGACTCAGAACAATCAGCAGGGTGTATGTGCAGCTTCCTTCCTCCAGAATGAAGAACAAACGTGCTGCCACAGTGTAGACTGTTAAGGGCCCTCTAACTATGAGACATAGTTACTGTGGCTCAAGAACTCATAGACGCTTTCCCCTCTCTCTCCCCTTTCTCTCTCCTTCCCCGCCCCGCCCCCCTTCTTCTTCTCCTGCTTCCCTTCTCTTATTTTCTTGAAATGCTAGAGATCCAACCCGGGCTGCATTGAAAGCCTTTGTCATTGAGGTGCACCCCCGTTCCCCAGCACCGGAGCCTTTACTTCTAAAGTAAAAATTGAATGACAAGAGGGGTGAAGGTTTGGCTTGTGACGGCCACCACACAGCGCACACGATGACCTCCGTTTGCCAAAGATCCAATCTTGGCAGCTAGCTCTCGCTTTATCTGCCAGGCTACATGAATCCGTGACTTTCAAGGATGTGGCTGTGCACTTCGCAGAGAAGGAATGGTTTAGCCTGCTACCTGCTCAGAGGGTCCTGTGCAGGGCAGCCATGCTGGAGAAATATGAACATACGGTCTGTTCTGGTGCTGTCCACTTCAGAAAGAGCTCTGATCGCTTAGCTGTAGCAAAGGAAAGAGCCGGGCTCGCCCAGCCAAAGGGAGCCCTCGGTAAGAGGGGCTGGGGAGCAGGCCTCAACAGGTACATCTCAAAACTAACAAACATGCTCACTTAGCTGAAAGAATAGCACGGGCAATGAGCTCAAACATCCCTCCAAGTCAGTGCTGGGACGACAAAAGAAAGCTCAGTTCTTGACCTTAAAAGGTCAGTTTGCCAAGGAAGGGACTGATTTAAAAGCCATGTTAAATGATACTCTTTTCACTACACTTTTATAAAAATTTTCATTTTTATCATATTAAAAAACACCAAAATTTGAAATGCTTTTATATTTTCAAATATTCACCTAGTTTTGTTTATACTTGTTTTGTCATTATTGGGAAAAATCCTTGTTCATTTATTTTTTATTTTTGTTTGTTTTTCATTCTCTAGCACATGCTGGACTTGAACTCATGATGTAGCATAGTTCATAAGTGCCTAGATTACAGAGTGAGCCACCACACTCTTTCTTTCTCCATGTGTTCCCCGTTGCTACCCTTCCTTACTATTTTTACTGTTTTATTGTATAGTCAATAAACTTACAGCAGTAAAGTCCCCAGATCTAGAGAAAGAAAACAGACAGACAGACACAGCTAGAAGAATGCTCCATGGTATGGACTAGTCCAGATGTAAAAAGCAGAAGGAAACAATATAACGGGAAAGTGTCAACTTGCCTACAGAGCCCAGAACATAATCTCATCTTCAACCTAAAAGCAAGGAAAGAACAGGACTGAATATTTTAAATGTTGAATATAAATGA